ATCTTCATTGATTCGACGACTCGTTCTTTATTCTGTATTCCTTCTGCCATGTTTGTTGCTTCAGTTTCGGCCCAAGTTTGTTTTATTATTTGGATATTCCAATGCATGCACAGTTGGATTGTCTGTCCGTCCAGACCAGATCAGTATATACATAAGTCGTATGTACATATGTAGCTCTGTTTGTCTGTCCACCTCTTCTGCTTATTTAGGTCCAAGACCCGCGACTACTCCAACAAACCCACAAAAGGTTCTTCTCGTTCTTTTTGTTGCTGCTGCTGTTGTTGTTGTTGTTGTGTGTCCAATACCATAAATATTTGTAGCTAAACATGCACTGCCCCTTGACAAAAGGAGGCGACCAACAACAACAACAACAACACACACACAGTCAATCAGTTGATGATCATGTTGACAATTTTTCGATGAAGTTGGTTTCATTTCCTGGAATTTGTTTACCCAAGTTGAAAACCTTTTCATGTATGGGACTTTCGTCTTCTTTCGAATCTGAATACCTTGTGGTACCCCCCTCCCCGCCCCCCGCTCACGACTTAATCCAGTTGAGAACTTCCCATGCGCTCGCATATGTGTTTCATTAATAATGTTAATCGATTTCGAATTCGGTTCTGGCCTTTCTCCGGTTATTAGCCTGAAAGCATTGCAATGCCACTTTTTGTTGTTTTTATTGCTGCAACTGAGAGCCAAACTAATTGTCTGTCACGCCCACTCCCTGACGCTCTGCCACCGCCTGCAATTAGCTGCCAGCGCAGCTCCCAGCAATTTGTGTGTCAATCCTTTAGCGACTGATGGGTCGCACATTTGGCGCCGCTGCCTCCCCATAAGTTGCAGCTGCCTCTTAATTAGTACACCCACTAGCACTGGCAACAACAGCAACCACAGCAACAACAATGAAGTACAGTGGAAACCCACAGGAGTGAACTAATAAAAGTTGAAAAGAGCTTACAAAACAGAAAGGAATTAGCGCTTTTTGAAAATTGACAATTTCCTTACATTTCTAATGTAGAACACTTTGTTGTTGTTCTCAACTTGTTCTTTAAACTAACTATTTATTTCAATTTCGTTTTCGCCGAAAATTTACTCTCCTCTTCTTCAATTGTTATGCCCAACTGCTGGGGAAACGTAAGCGCAGAGTTCTACAAGTATTTGCAGCTTTTGTTGAACAAGGCTGTTGCTTGAATGGAAGTTCCTCAGAAGTAACTAAAGGCTCATTAATAAATAGCAGGGACCCCAAATAATGATTATTTTGTTTTTTTCAAATGAAAAAATCATTCACTTATAGTAACTTTGGGAAAGCGAGGAATTTACTGATATCCTTTTTTAAGGATTATGCACGTATTTTCACCATGATTTATAAATCTAATTTAATTTTGAGTTTTACTTTAAAATTTAACCAATAATCATTATTTTGTAATTTTTTCAATAACACTTATAATGATTACAGTCCCTGATGATAAATAGATTTGAAAATAATGTGTACTTGGAATCAATTTATAACACGGGATAACAAAATTGGAAATGAAACATACAGCTTTAATTAATTCTATTTTAAAAAAGCATTTTCTGTTCCAATAGCTCATAACTAATAGTATTTTTTTCCTATAAAATATGACTATTTCCAAACGCTTTTTATCTTAGAATGGAATGGATGGAAAACAATCCTAAGAGACCGTAGCAGAAGGGATACATCGATTGCCTTATCGTTGTTAAAACTACATATGTAAAGATCGAAATACCAATTTATACTAATGTTATCGATAAAGTCATATGAAATATTTTGTTATTTGTATTGTAATCGAATCATGGTCACACAGTGTCATGAAGAAGCTGGTCGTCGACAAAACACGAAATTGAAACTCGCGGAAGCTCTCCGAAACTTACGGAAATTTATCTGTATTTAATTTAAAACGGTCATTTAATCACATATTCTCAATAATTACTTATCCACAAAATCATTATTATTAAAGTTCAAACAAAACCATAGTCAAGTGTGTTTTCATTAAATTTTAGGGCCCAGCGTTCATACTGGTCCTTACAACATATTTCCATTTTATAATGGTTTTTTTGAATTTCAATTTGAGTTTACTATATCGGTTCTCCACTGTAAGCTGTTCAACACTGGTGCGCATAAATCAGACAAAAAATAATGGCAGAGACAATGTGCCGGCTGAGCGACATCAAATGAAACTCAAATCAAAATGTCATAATTTGATGGCGACACGAGCGACAATACGTCAACATCGCACACCCGTACCGGCACCGGCACCAACACCGGCAGCCCCATTCCAGCCGCACTCCCGCACTCCCCCACAGCCCAACACTCCCAACCCTTCCGCACATTTAATTAGTCGGAGGCCGCACGGGGAACGTCGCCAGCATCGCAAACAAATCACATAATTATGATTGAGCGCAGCCCAGCGAGCAACTCTTTGAATATTCACTCGGATCTCGGGCCATTCTCGGCTAGCTAAGTTATGAGGACGTGGTGGCGCATTTTGGGGTTTCCTTTATGGCCCGCGACGCCCGACGCGTGCATAAAAATAAATCAGGCCGGCGACTATGTATGTGCGGCGTGCAGCTGCCGTAATTGAATGCAAATGTCCATCCAAAAATACGTTCCATCTATCTAGCCAGCCAGCCAGCCAGCCAGCCAGCCAGTAGAGCACTATTCGTAGCCCCAATCCCACAGACAAAAGGCAGAGTCGACACTCGAGAGCTGGGAGTCGAGAGTTGAGCATCGTAAGCCGAAAGGCGACAATCTGCTCTAAATTATCACGTGTAGGTGCCGTCGCTTGTCTCCACGATCTGCTCCATTGTGTTTGCTGGCGATGCATGGAAAACTAATTTCCCCTCCCAGCCCATTTACTATACTCGTACAAACTCCCTCTGCCGCCTGCCCCCTGCCCCCTCCCACCAACACTCCACAACTCAGCCACTCAGCCATTGGGCTCTCCTTCCTGTGTCATTATTCTTACCGCACATTTTTTTTTGATATTCATAATTTGTGGCGTGCGCGCCAACTCCTCAGAGTGGCTCCTCCTTTTGTCATTTTGTTAAATTGTACCACGTGTTTTCGATAATGACGACATAATTATGCATGGGCTAATTCTGATGCCGAGAGAACAGACCATATGCATGACTTAAGACCAGGCGAGTGGGCGAGTGGATGAGTGGTACATAGTTAAAGGAGAGCTCTGTTTAAAAATCGAACGCAAATAATGCACAGTACATTAAACATAGTTTAAAGGCAACACACAATTCTTTCTATTTAGATTTATATACGTTTTTCATTGAGGAAAGCTACTTAAAATATATAGCTATTTCCCCATTATTATTATATATTATTATTATATATTATTTGAATTTGGTTAGATTTCTCCTACTTAGGCCTTCTTAGCTTATAAGGTTACTTTTATAATTTTTATAAATTGTTTTCCCATGTCGACAGTCAGTGTTTGTTGACATAAATAATACATTTAAATTAATGTGCTCTCACTTGATGAAAAACAGTTTATTATCTTCTAGATTTACGCAAACTTCTTGTAAATAAGTACATTTACTGAATGGCTAAGTTCTGTATACCTTGTAACCGAAAAGCAAAAAGGATATCTTCTTGCTTACAAATGGCGTGTTGCAGAAGAATAAAGCATAAAGCAAATGATATAATATATTCTTGATCAACATAGCAAATCGATCAGCCATGTCCGTTCATGTGTCTAGCGTTTAGATTTAACAAACGCCTTCAAACTGAGAATCGGTAATCGTTTCTAATTTAAAAAAAAAATGTCCTTAATATCTCAGAACCCTAGTAATTGGAAACCCGTTAAAAATCATATATTTTTAATCTGCTTTGAATATTTTTTATACTTTTAGGGCGAAATATTAAGCCAGATTTAGAAATGCAATCGACAGTTGGCCGTGAAACCCAGAAATCTGTCTTTAGCTTAAAAAATCGTTCTTAATTCATCTCAGATTGAAGCTCTACGGCTTACAAAATCAGGTCCATCCGCTAACGTACCAGTCATAATCAGTGATTAGGCTTTAATCTAAAGCGTCTGAGCCCGTTTGACGCTTCGACGCAGCTGCAGTTCCCCAAACCTGCATTCCGTACCTCCAGGTGGACCACCACCTCCAACCCTGCGTATTGTTTCCCGGATTCAGACATTTATGCGACCTGCGAGACCAGCTCTTAAAAATCTTACATCCACCTAAATGATAATATATCGGCTAAGTTAACTTGTTTTTGGAAGAAAGCGATCTCAAAAGTATGTCGATTTTAATGATGATTTCCGATTGTAGATATGAAATAAGAGTTCTTTTGCTAATCACTCCTATAAGAATATATTAAACAGAAGTTTTTACTTCCTTGTATATTAGTGAACTAGCATTTAAATAAAAACATCTTACAGACTTTGAAAAGCTGTTGTTAATTACTTGCCCGGGATATTTGCTCCAAAACAGAAAATATCTCATTTTTTTACCCGATCATGTATTCTTTCTGCGTATACTAAAATTAGTATGTGTATACCTTCCATAGATACGATTTCAAAAAAGCTTTTATTTGAAGACCTTGTTTGTTTATAAAGATAAGACATAGGCATTAGCATAGGCATAGGAAATGTTTCGTTTCATGACTGAGACGACCATAGATGTGAAATAAGTTAGAAAGGCTTTCCAATAAAAGAGTAAATAGTACGGACACATACGTGGTCCATAGCCCAGAATGAATAAGGTTTTTATATAAAGCACACCAAAGGGCATATAAATACTATTAGCGCAGAAAAAGTTAGCTTCTTAGCACGTTCTTATTGTTTGTAAATATTTGAAAACTATATCAATGTCTTGTCTCTTCAAACTTTCCGATTAAATAGCTTTTCATCTCAAATTGAATGTTAAATACATAATTCAATTGTGGCTTACAGCAAATAAAACGCTATCGGGTTCATTGCATTATGTTATGCTTTATTTTAAAGGAAAAAAATTACATATTAGCTTATATACACTTTAATTTTTTTAATGATTTTATGTACAAATGCGCTATAAAATAAAGCAGCCAATAAATATTTGTTTACTATAATAATAAAAAAAAAATTTACATGTATATTAATACAGTAGTTCAGTAGTATATCAGTAGTTTTTGTATAAATTACAAATAAATATAGAGCGTCGGATAGTTAAACAATTTTAACATTTTACTAAATACCATTATATTAGAAATCAATTTTTAGACACAATACCGGCCAACACTGGGAAATGTTCAATAACAGTGTTGAAAATGTCCCCGTGCCCGGTCTGGAGCTTGGCTAAGCAAAGACACACAGCACAGGGAAATTTGGGCAGTGGTAGCTAAGCGCGTACAGCAACCATGTAGAGCTGAGGTAAATAAGAGCCTACCACTCTTGCCAGTGATTCAATCTCACCACAGCTGGTGCCATTAATTTGTTATTTGTTTTGAAACGAAGGAATCTAAGATTCTTGAAATGTTGTCTACTTAATTGATCGTGAAATGGTTTCGGAAATTATGATCAGTACAGAAGATTGTAAACTAGTTGGACGCGGCCTAATACTTACATACACATACATTTCTGTGACAACAATTTAACTAATTTGCATTTGTCGTTCGCGAATGGGGCATCCACCCGTCCGCCCCCTCTCTGGACCAGCTATCCACATCCTAGTCCTTGTCCTTGCAATAGCGTGTGTGCAGGACATTCTCCGTTCCCGACAAAATGGCGCTCTCGCGCAGCGGACACAGCTTCAAGTACGTCTCATCCGACTCCAAGGACTCGATCAGTATGTACTCGAGATAAATGCGGGGCGAGGACAAGATGCGCCACGTCAGCGGATTCAGGAAGTTGGTCTGATATTCCCAAAAGACGGTCGCGTACCCGGGATCGCGCAAGTCTTTGCCTGGCACCAGCGACGTATACTCGAATCCGGGCTCAAAGTACATCGGCTTTGGCGAGAACTTCATTCGCTCCGTTGTCTTCTTGCTGTGCGCATCGTGCAGCCGTATGGATAGCGTTCCAATCTCTCCGCCATGGTGGGCGCTCTCCTCGTGACTCGACACGCGCACCGTGATTTTGTAGTGAAGGCGACAGAAGGGCTTGCGCTCCCCGGTCATCAAGTACAGCACGGGGGGTGTTGAGTGCGAGTGCGGCTTGATCTGGTTCCTCGCCACCAGGTGCTTATAGTCCGCATGACTGTGGAAGCCCATGCGCATGCACAGACGTCCTGGCTCATGGCAACTGGAGCACTTTATCTCCTTGAAGCTCTGCAAAATGGAGAGAGCAAGTCACATAAGCACAAGAGGAAGAGAAAAGAGGTTTCCGGACTCTAGACTTACGTCGAAGGAATCGCAGCTGATGCCCATGAAGGGGCACTTGGACTCGATGCTCTCCGTAAAGTACTGATAGCTGCGAATATGGTTACAGCCCAAAAACTCCTGCACCGTTGAGAAGAGTGTCGCCTTCCGATGATTCTTCATCACATCCTGCAACTTCTTGTCACAGCCGGGATTGTCAAAGCCGCCATTTGGATAAAAATCCACGTGGCCAATGCGCTGATATATGCCCAAGCCGCCCTTCATCAAAGGATTGGCATCCGTATGGACGATGTCCACGAAATGCGCGTCCGACCGATCCAATCGCACAATAGTATCGGTATCCGTAAAGAGCGGTGCCGCAGGATCCAGACCAGAAATGCGGCCCAGCTTCAGACCAAAGTCTTGCTGCAAATGGTAGCCCGCATAGCCGGACAAATGGGCGCCCAGGGAGTGGCCAATGAGGTGCACATTGTTCAGATTGGGCAAGCCCAGTTCCTCATAGAGCATGTGCACTACATGCGCGGTAATGGAGCCCACCAGCCGTATATTAGCCACGGCCTGCACATAAGGCGGACTCGAACCGCCGCCCCAATCGATCAGGATAACGGCGCACTCGCCCTCCGGCTCATGATGCAGCAGCGTCTTGCCCATTTCCAGCATCTAGAATTCACAGATTTCGGAAGTAAGCAAGAGTTCATACCGTTGAGTTAAAATCTCCCGACTTACCCATTGCATGTCGCCCGATTCTAGATAGCCGTGCACCAGGAAATATATCTTGCCGCGCCCATTGATGCCCAGCCCCTGAACGCTATCCGGATCATTGAGATCAATGTACTTGGGTTCGTCGAGGGCTCGACGGGTATAGAGCGTGAAGTGTGGCTCTATTTCGGCAGGTTTCTGCGGATGCACATTAATGGAGCGTGTACCCGAGGTCCAAGGTCCGTTGATGGGAAAACAGCCGTATACGCCATAACATTTCACCTCGTTAATATCTGCAAGAGTACGAGAGTAAAGAATTATATTGACTGTCGACTCCCAGCTGCATAGCTTCTAAAATATTCAGTTTATTTAAACGGGTGATATTTAATGTTTAATGACTTGGTGTTCAGATTAGAGAACAGCCTTTTCCCCATTTTAATTGATCTGAAGACTAGTTGCAATATGGCCGAACATTTTTATAATGACTGAATGGATCGGTCAAGCCTTTCACAACTGTCCAGGTCGGTGGATGAACGTGTTGGAGGAGAGCTGCAGAACTGAAGAAGGTTCTAAATTATTCCAAACACAGCTAATGTTGAGCAAGAAATGAGCTCACGCAGAGTTCACAAAAGAGTAGAAAGGTTTCTTCACAACGCCCGCAAGTATAGTACAGAGACAAGAATATAAGAGATACTGAGACTATATTAGAATATCTGGTGATCGACAACTATAGCAAGCTATCAAGTGAAGATGCATCTGATTATTAAGAAGCGGATTCTGAACGAAGCCAATCTACACCGAAGCAGACGATAATAACATAATTATATGCAGAACAAAAATTATCTGTCTTGATTATTAAATACAAGTACTTGTATGTGTAGTATATTTAATATTCAAAGACACTTCTCTTTGTACAAGAGCCGACCTCCCATTACTTGGAGCAAGTTCATTGTGCCACATACGCATCAACCTTCGTTTGAATAAAGTCTTCAGTCTGTTGTTGTTGCTGCTGTTGTTGTTGTTGTTGTTGTGATGGTGGTGGTGGTCGCTGCTGCTGGTCTTAGTTTTCATTTAAATATTTATTTTTTGCAATCAACATCAACAAAAGCAGCGATGCATGCGCCTCTCTCGGTCGACTGACCAACCGCTATCAACTGTCAACTGGCCGATCCGACTGTCGTCATTACTTATCATTGAACGCTACTTCCCGTTCATATCGGAAGTTTTTCGATAAGATACTTAACAAGTTCAAATGCATACACACACACATACTATAGTATATAATCTATCTTTGTGTGGACGAGCAGGTGTTGTCGTTAGCTTTTCGTGAATGCCGCTGCCTCGTTTCCATTCGACTTCACGCACTAAAGACACCCATCGAGCACTGCTTACTCTTTCATTTTGTTGCCACCTGAGTGTCGTGCATTGAAACCAACAAGCGATCGATCGATCGATCGATCGATCCAACGTTCGATTGATGGATCCATTAAGCTCCCTGAGCTCGCTTTCCCTCTCGGCCAATCGCCTCGCCACTCTCATGAGGTTGAATGAACCATTGAAATCAATCAGAAATTGTTTGAACAAAACTCAACCTGAAGATGCGCGTGCGCATGCGAGTATTGCTCCGGACTCTGGCCCCAAGACCTGTCTAAATAGGCGGATAGCTTTTCGAAACAAAAAACAAATGTTGAAAACCCATTAGGCCCCGGCATTGTGTGCTCATTGGTGGACGTGCCATAGAGAAATTGAAACATTATGTCGGCACCTGACCAAAAACGAGTCCAAACTATATCTGCGGCTCTTTTACATTTCAAATCTGTGGCTATTCATGTTGTTCATATTCATATGCTAACATATGGTAGTATGTATGCTATTCAGAACTGTATTGTTAGAGCTAATAAACATATTTAAAGGAAAGTCAGCTAGTGCTTGACAAACTATCGTAGCGACACATATATAAAATGTACATATTATCGAATTAAAAGAGCAAACATTGCAAGAATAATATTGAAATAAAATAAATGACTAAAACTTGAGAAGAATTCTAGTTCAAATCTGAACAACTTTCGATCTTTTACTAACTAGGTTACTTTTACAATAAACTGTGATGTTGAGTGCTATTCGCGATATCTCTGTAACTAAAAAGGTTTCATTTCAAATGCATATCGAAAAACCCAATTTAATGGCATGAAATGATAAAGATAATTCAATATATTTCTACTGGATTTGTTATAAAAAAAATGTTAGCCCAACTCGACTGTTGATCGTTTCAAAAAAGTAAACAACAAAATTACAATGGTTTTGGTTATTTCGAAATGACTTTGGTGGAGCTTTTAATTTTATTTTTAAATTTTAATTTTTATTTTTTAAATTTTAATTTAATTTTAATTTTATTTAAATTTTGATTTGCTGTTCGTGGGTCAAAAAGGAACATTAATCCAGTCTTCTCCCCTAATCGAATTTTGGCTAAAATAGAACAACCCGAGAAATATTGACAAACTTATATATGAGTAGACGTATACCTATGTGTGCCCAAATCTTCTTTTCGTGGCATGAAATTGGAAGTTCGCACATACGAGCAAATGCACTTATTATTGTTTTTTTTTTGCTATTTCAACTGAAACGATCATAAACACAAGTATTTACTTCTAAGAAAAGCAAATAGCGAGAGGAGTCGCACAAACAAATATGAAATCCAACACCCAGATGGTAGATTCGCTGGTAAGGCCGAGCAAACGCACTGGCCAAGTCTGTGGTGATCGATCGTAAGGTGCCGCTAAGGTGGCAGGTTGCACGGTAAAGTGAGCGAACGCGAATAGCTGATGTTGCGCCACAAGCTGAGCGGCACGTTCCACGTTCCACGTTCTAGAAAAAATGATAGCTCCAAGATTGCAGACAGACCAGTTGACAAGTCAAGCAGCTCCGACAATTGGGCAACAATCTTTGGCAAGCATTTGAGAGCAGGGCAGCTCGATGGAAACTTAAATTAAAACTTAAAATGCAACCGAAACTAAAACTAAAACTGGTAGGATGGATGGATGTATACTCGTGGAGCAACTGCCTTCTGCGTACCCCTCTCCTCCCCAGATGCAATTTCATTGCAGTTCACTTACCACTTTTGGGTGCCGGTGGCAGATCGATGAGTGTGTTAACAGCGGCTCGGCTTGTGTGATTGGCCAAATACAGCATGGTCTGCAGCATGAGGCCCCCGGTTGAGTTTGCCACATACATGATCGCAGCCTCGACTGTCTGTGGTCTCTAAATAGTATTGTAGTAAGCGCACTTTGGCAGTTCGTTTAGTTGTTGTTATTTCTCTCTGCTCGGCCACAACACGAGCCCTCGCGGCACTTCAGCTAACGCCACTTCACACACTGCCTTGTGATTTGTGGCAGTGCTTGTGTCTGGGCCCGGCTAAGACAATTGTTACTGATACTGATATATACTGAGGATGAAGGCGATTGTTTGTGGCCTTTTAATTAAATTAATCTTATCGCTCGTCACTTGGGAAAATCGCACGCTATTCGCTTCAGCCAAAAAAAAAGTCACAAAAAACGCAACAACAACAACAATGAAATGGAACACACACACGCACTTGTCACTAGAATTGCCGTTAATCGTATGGTCTCTTCTTTCCTTCTTTCGCGCACTCTCGACTGTGCTTCAAATGTATTCTGACCTCCCCCGCACCTAAAAGCTTCAAGCTTCAACTCTTCATGTGCCTTGGCACTATCAATACAACTAGAAATCGCCTCAAGTGGTCGTCTGTCACGTTTCGAGATCGACACAGCACTGAGCCGATCAGCTGCAAGACCCGCAATTTTATGTCGCCGAGAGGCAGCGCAAGCTCAGCTTCGGCATTCGATTGAGCGCTGCTGTTGCTTCGAGCGGCGGATCGGCGGATCGGCGGGGTGGCAGGGGCGGTCCACTGCTCTACACTGCTCTACACTGCACGAAAGTGCACTGTCCAGAGCCGACGTCTTGGGCAAGTGCAGTCACTGCGATAAGAGCTAAAGATAGCTTGAGGCATACATAAATCAGTCTTGGTATTTCCCAATGGCCAAGACCTTACTACTGCCAAGTAATGTTCAGCAGCTGTTTTATTGTTTTCTGCACTGATAAAGGAATGCTATCAGTGCGGCACTCCTTTCAGTAGTCATCTGCATTCCACACAAAACTCTAATGGAAATCCAAAAACAAAGATTAGATACATCATATTCACCCACAAATAGAGGCATTTTCAAAGCTAAATAGGACCTCATCGAATCGATGCAGGCTAACTAAGAACTGAATACAAAAACTAATAAATAAGCTAATAAATAACTGACACAAATGAGTTTCCATGCAGGTCTACATATTTGTTTAGAAAACTTTGCCACAACTTTATCATGTTTTTCTTACCTATGATGCAATATTTCCAACGATCGAAAAGTGACCAAAATGACAAAATATTGCACAATTTCTTTCGGGTTTTCTGTATAATAATATTTCTCTCTATTTTGTTTAACAATCATTAACACCATGAAAATAGTTAACCACAAATGAATCCTCCCACCCAGTTGGAGTTTCTTTGATTCTTGATTTCTTGTTTGATTTTCTTTCTCACTTACACCTGGTAGAACTCTCTTTCTCTCTCTCGTTCTGTTTCTCTCTCTATTTACAGCTCAAAAACGTATCCTTTCAACAATCTCCTTCAGAGTTTGTGACCACTAATTACTCTGAATCGGCGCATTATCTATTAAATATTTGCCCACCGAGTCGTAGGTTTTTTGCGATTCCTTAAGTATAGTAGCCTTTTCCCTAATTAATACGATTTAATGAACTTTGTACGTCCATTAACGTCTCTGATCAAATTTAGATTTATTTAGGTTCAAGGCAGATGAGAATTTCAAAAATTCTTCTCTACTTGTGTCTCTAAGTCAAAAATTTTTATTTATCTAATACTAAACATAATATTAAACTAACGAGTGCTAGCTACTCGGGCCTTCGACTCGTTTATACACATTGTCATTAATTTATATTTTATCTTTTATTATTTAAGTATTTTAATTTTAATTTGTTTTCTTCTACAAGTATCTTTTATTGCTATATTTTTTCATCTTCACTTCTTTTTTGATAGGTCTAATAACGTATCTGACTACTCCCTGCTGTGAATCGGGGCATAGCTGGCCGTTTGGCAAATAATATTCCCTCACCGTGTCGGATTCGTTATTAGATATTTTTGTTATTTGTGTAGGCTTTTTTATTTCTTTAGTTTTACTTAGTTTAAGTTCTCTATTGTGTTGATTTTTTGATGTACATCGACTGCATTGTTTGTCGAAGAAAATAAATAAATCAATAAATAAATTATTGTCCACTTAAGGTAACAACTTTATAAATACTGCTCCAATACTCCAGTACTCGTATAAAGACTTCAAAAAAGGCGTCCTTAATCACATCAATTAAACCTAGGTTACAGATTGAACTTTTCTTAATTTATATGAGAGCCATTCTGCTTTATTTTGGTCATAATACAAGTAGGAGTTGAATAATCGACATTAGGAAGCGTTCATTGCAGTAATTCAAAAAACATTTAAAGCTAAGGCACAGCGAATGAACGCATTAATTTACGAGAATGCAAATAATTTAGGGGTCAGCTCCATTAATTCAATTCAGAGTCGTAACTTTTCTCCGCGTGTAATAAATAAACTCGGGATGCAAAGTACAAAGCTGTGAGAACAGCTACGGCGGACTGCACGGTTTGTTGTTATTATTGTTGCTGTTGTTGTTATTATTGTTGCTGTTGATGCATTTGCCTGATAACCAAAAATAAAAACCGCAGCACCAATAAAAACAACAACAGCAGTCGAAGATCAAAGTCATGCCGATGATACCCAGAAGCTGACAAAAGACTTGAAAGGGCCTCTTAAATGCCTTTGCTGCCTTTGATTACTTTTTTGGACTCGAGCTGAAAGCTCCATTATCCAGAGAGTGGAGCAAACAGAGTTACAATCTCAGAAGCTGTGACGTAGACAGCGATCTCAACCAAACCTCCAGCATGGGGAAGCAGATAGGTGCATTCACAACAATAACAAACGAGCCTTATCAGTGTTGGCATTACACACATATATGTAGATGTATGTATATGTATGTCAAGATGCTTCGTGTGCACGCGACAAGCCTCTTAGCACGGACGAGCGGACGCATGGACAGGTGCAGCGGGCTGTTTACGTTTAACGGCCAATGTCTGACTACGCGGAGCAGCGTCGCGGAGCAGCGTCGGCTTATCAGCATCGGACAGTTTCGGTTACGGATTCTCGCCCTGGGCCTGGGTGTTAAGTGTTGAGTGTCGGGTACAAAGTCCAGTTAAAGTACCAAGGTGTTTATGTGACTTTTCACCAGGATCTCGATGCGATTGACGTCAATGCGGGGCTCTAGGAGCCGGTTCAGTCCGCTCCCACCTTATCAAAATTGCGGGCATCTCGTAATGCCGCCTATTTGTTTTTGTTTACCAGACATCGCCGACCAACACCATCAACACCATCAACACCAGCAGCAGCATCGTAATGCGCATAAACAACGCACGGCCCCAAGTCTGTGGCTAGTGGGACAATAAAGAGTGGAGGCTTCACACGTAGTGCCCGGCGATGACGATGACGATGACGCGGAGGCTGACGTAGCAGCATCTCTGCTGCAGCTGCTGATAAGAGCGCGCTCAGTGGTTGAAGGTGAAGCTCATCGCCAGAAGTCGGGGCGTCTCGAAATAGCTTTTACTTAGCTTGCGACGTGACTAAAAATAGCAGCTAACACTAAATAGAATGTGGGGCATGCGACCCCTTCTCCCAATTGACTCTGTTTCCATGGGATTTGTTCACGCCTTATCAATCAATAATGGAAAACACTTTTACAAGTATTTCGACTGTGAACTCGTCTACACTCTAGGTCTAAGTATATACTCGTAAGTACATACATCCGGCTCAAATGAAATACCTGTCGGTTTTATTTTTATTGTGCATTGAAAAACATTATTTAAAAAGAACAAAATATTTACTTGCAGCTCTTTCGACGTCAGCAAGTTTTGCAACAAAACAATTATACTTAAGTGCCAGATTCACGTTTGCAGTTGTTCATAAAAATAAGCTGCTTTTTTATACGTAATGTGCTCACAGAATAGTTATTTGTATTTGTAATAGTCCAGCTTATTGGCCAATGGGTTATTGTGCCCTGTAAAAAGTAAAAAGGGTATATTTGGTTTGTGCAAGAACAGATATTCTCTATAAAAGCTTGTCTTCGGATGGTTGTTCCGCCGGACAATGCAAATAAATATACATGAGTTTCGACCGATTGTTCAAAACACGGGACAATAAATATATGTGTAAAAATATTAGTACATATACTTGTAGCATATGCATCAATAGATAAGAAACATAAATCATTCTTCCGCCTTTTCTTTACACCTAATTTCTTATTGTTGAAATCTACTTCATTGTCGCCCAATTATATAATCAGATAGCCCTGATTCCGCTTTCAGGCAAAAGGGAGACGCAATCATAATCAGTAGTCCTTGTTCTAAACACAAAACCACTGAAGAATAAATCTCCTTCTCTCTCAAGGCATACAGGATAGCATTAAATTAGCTTATAAGCGGCCCAGAAATTTCGTTCTCACTGACTTTTGATTGGTCGATCAAACATCAAGTCTCTCTACTTGGAAATCTATTTATTAGATAGTTATGCTTATAAATGTTTGCTCAATAAATCTATTAGCTTCAGGAACTTCAGGAACTGGGTCTATAACAGTTTATATTAAGGCAAAACTCATCAGAAGACTGCAATGATTTATATAGACTTGGATTTCGTTGTATATTAACAGGCTTGGGAGGCAAGAACGCTCTCAGAAGTTGGCTGAAAATACAAAATATAAACCTCTCTTAAGATTCAGAGGCTATTATGATGTGGTACTAATCTCGAAATAAATAGAAAAAGAATGCGATATAGAGTCAACACGTTCCACATAGAGCCATTCAAGTGCTAAGCCCATTTATATGTATATGTATTAACATTTTATTTTTTGCAAATATTATATTGCATCTACACCTGGGCAGCAGAGGAGTTGTAATTTTTACAAAATTTGCAGATATTATAAAGAGACTGACCCGATCCAACTGTACTTACCATGCTACCTAACAAATTTAGCTCTTTTTAATACGTCTTTTCAAGCTTAATAATAATATTTACGCTGAGTTTGAAACATTTAGCTAATAGTCTATATGCGATTTCTTATTCTGCGCAGTAATTGCTGAGAAATTGCTTGCACAGGTGTTTTTCAATTTAATGCGAGAAGAAAAACCGTCTGCATTAGAAGAAATATAAGATTAAGTAAGTAAGCAACAGGACCCGATTCACGTTCCTTCAGTTGTTAGAAAGTGGTTGCACATAGGTTGAAAATGCTCCAGAATCCCCTTAAGAGATCGCTCATTCCATTAAGACCTTAGCCGAACAAACTCTCCTCAGCTGAGCCTTTGTCTTGTGTTGTCTGAAACGGTTCGGGATACTAAAATATATTTAAGGAGCGTCATCATATAGGGTGTACTTATTATTTTTCCTTGTTTTATTTACTACGAAACGAATTAAAAGTACAATATTACATACATAAATAAAATCGTATGCTCGTATATGTATGTATTAAATTTAAAACGGCATTATTTGGTTACTGTTACTGTTTATAGAATACTAGACGCATATTAAATATTGAACTCGGACAGTCGAACCAGAGTTACCTATATAGTATATATATATATATATATATATATAATATATATATGATAGAGAGATATAATATATATATATATATATATATATATATATCTAGATATATATATCTTATATATATATATCTATATATAGAATATATATATATATATTATATATCTATATTATATATCTATATATATATTATATATAGTACATACAGTACAGATACGTACATATATATGATAAACAGAGGGCTGTGATTATTTATTGTCGTTGAACATTTAAGGCATTCGCGTGAAATAAGAAAAGAAATTAATACGTATGCTCACGAACATGGAGTTCTGAGAAATTCATGATATGCCGCCACTTGTGACATTAGTATGGTAAAAATTTCACCTATAGCTAGCTTACAGATACCCTAAATCTAAAAATGGCAAAAAAAAATATGTGAAAATATTTCGGGAGATTGAATCCTTGATTTGGCAGACACGATGCAATAAAGCTTGGCGATGAGCGGATCATAAGCGGAACATCACTCCGTGCGCTGTATGATCATCTCGATCTTGTCGCCGGCAGCTGCGATCAGCGGCACTGTCAGGCAACAATCGAAGTCCTGGGTCTTCATTTCATTGACCTACAGAATCGGGGAGGGAATGAGAAATTGTCAGAGCACATTCGTGGATGCATTTTAGTTGGCCGTCTCTCACCTGCATGATGCGATCGAAGGGCTTTAGCATTCCACACATATCCGCTGGGCCACCTGTGCGTATACGATTGATAAAGACGCCTCGCTCATAGAGGCCATCGGAGACGGAGAACCCATAGTCATCATAGACTTTATCCTTGTAGAGCGTGACGCGAAAATCTCGCTGTTTGCCGCCACCATTAGGCTGCTCCTTGCCACCACCGCTGGCGTCTGTGTTGGCGGAGGGACTGCGCGGTCGCCGCTGCACCTTGGCGTAGATAGCCTGGGGCTGGGGCATGCCGGCCACCATGTTGTCGCTGGTCCCATATCCGTTGACGAGCTCGTGTGTCCGCAGTATTTTCAGATCCACAATATCGCCCAAATTCTGTAACAGTCCGGTCGCATGCGACAGCGGAATTCCCTGCACGGAGTGTTCATCGATCGCCAGCAGCTGATCGCCAACTTGGATTTGGCCGTTCTTGTGCGCAATACCACCTGAAAGCGAGAATTGGGACGAGATGAAATCAATTACTATTATGATCAATATGCCATACTGAAGAGTGTAGGGTGAGTTGGAGAATCGAGCTACTTACCCTCCACGAGGCCGCTAATGGTAATGGGCTTGGTGATGTCTTCGCTGCCCGCTAGCGTAATGCCGAGCAAACCCCCCTTGGGCTCCAGACGCACCGTAAATATGATCTGATGCAGGCTGCTGCCGCTGCTCTTGCTGCTCGAACTGGCCGCCGACCCATAGACTTTGTTCTCCATGGGCGGTGGCAGGGCTGTGCAGTCGACGCTGGAAGAGATTCCTTTGCTTAGACCGAGCTTATGAGTGAGTGAATGTGACTTACCTGGCATATCGGATGAGCTCATAGCCGCCATAGCCGCCGCAATGGGACTGCTGCTGCTGCTGTTGCTGTTGCTGTTGCTGCTCATCCTCCTCCTCCTCGGGCAGCTCGGTATTTAGACTCTGCGTATTGGGCACTGCAAAGGAACGGCCCAGGGTTGCACTACCGGAGGCTGCAGCCGCTGCTGTGGCTGCCCACGCACCGGTGGTGCCATGATGACGCAACTGCACCGACTGCAGACCACCCTCGTCCATACTGGGACCACGAAAGTAGTCCGGCTGCGGCGTGGTTGACTTGAGCGAAATGCAATCATTGTACTTGACCTCGGCGTACTTGGCCGCCACGTAGGCGCTGCTGTAGAGCTCGTGGTCGCTGGGGCTAGCCGGACAATTGCTGTAGATGGGGTTGGGCGGTAGCTTCTGCTGTGCATCGAACAGGAAGTCCGGCAGCATGACCCGCTTTATCGTCAGCGTTGTGTAATCGGCCGCTGTGGTCTGACTTGGCGACGTCGTCGTTGCCGTCCCCACAGCTGTTGAGGCCGTCGTCTCCTTAAGCAGTGCATCCACATTGAAATGCTGCACGGGATGGTTGTCCACGGCCAGCAAAATATCGCCAGCTCGCAATGAGCCACTCCGATGGGCCGGGCTGCCCATTTTCACATCTGAGATTACCAAGCCTCCATGACTCGAGCCGCTTACACTCAACCCCAGACCACATTTGCCGGCCCTTACTAGCTTGACATTGAAAACGCCACTGGAGGGCACCACCGCATCCGGCATATCGAACTCCACCTCCAGCTCCAGCCAATTAGCTGCGGTCGTGTTCCGTGCCGTGCCACTTCCTGTCCCTCCAACCCCGCTTGTGCTTCCGTCCAACAACTGTCTCATGGCATGCACGTCCAAGCTGTACATTTTGTTGATCGCCACAATGCGATCCCCCTTCTGAATGCAACCACTGCGGTCGGCCACCGAGTCGGACAGAATCTGGGCAATGGTCACGGCCCGGCCGCAGCTACTGGCCGTGCCCAGAACTATGCCAGCACCCTGACTGCAATCTAGCAGCACGGGAAAGCTCTCGGCCCGGCACAGCCCCAGACTGGTTGTATGATGCATGCTTCCGTTGGCGCTTCCGCTAACACTGCCACTGCCGCTGCCGCTGCTACTGCCATTAGCGGTTACTGTCACCACTCCGGCAGCCATGCCTCCGCCATTTGTCTCCAGGGGCAGCGAACTCTTGCGGACAAAGCGTTGACGTTGTCGGCCGGACGACTTGCGGGACTCTAGTGTGCTGAAGCTGTACTTGGGACTACCGAGCGCTGTGTGACCTGAAAGGCAGAAAAGGGAGAAATTATTGGACGGGAAAGCATTTGTAGCTCCTTAAGAGGTGATCAATACGATGAAGGCAGTGTACCAGCTGTCCCAAATGGTGTGGTGAGGAACAGGGGAGAACCTCTACAACACCAAAACCTGGTGATGTCTGGGATTTCGCCAGACCCGACCCAACACCAACTAAGGTCTGTGATGAACATTTTTTACAACAGCAAGACTTTTTATTGATTTATAATAAGGTACTTGTGGTTGCACTTATAGGTATCAGATAAGAAAAGTTATTGTTTAGTCTGGTAAAGAAAATATTTACTTTTGAAGGAAAGAAAAACAAGTAGAAGGCACTCCAGCCTTACTCTTGTATACCCTAGATACCCGCTCATCTCTCCATGGCAGTCCGTGAATCGTACATATGACTATTTTTTTATGTAATACACCGATTTCGATACACTACACTACACTTTACAAAACAGGTAAGGGGCTAAATAATCACCAAAAATATTCTACTGACTAATCGGTCATATGACCCCTACATAAAAGTTCTTAAAGTCCTCCAAAAGTTCTCAGTGATTATTTCGATGAAGGGAAGGATAGATGGATGGGCTTGTCCATATCGACGCATCTCGCCATGCTTATCATACATCTATCTATAATCTTGTCCTTGTCGAGTACATTTGGCTTTCAGACTGTTTGGATTATCCTTTCGGTAGTAGAAATTATACCAAAAGAGGACGCTCCTTCATGGCCTTTTAATCATGTATTTACAAAGACACAAAAATTGAAACGCGACTTAGTAAATGAGAGAAACTCCAACCAATTCGATAGAGAAATATATTTTTGAAACTCACATTGTTATTATAATAAGAGTGCGGACCAACCCATATTTCAATTCAACTTCAAATTGGTTTAAGGATAATCAGAATCGATAGCCGAATAGATATGGCTACGTCCGACTTTACCTCTCTCTCTGTCTTTTGAACTTTCATAATGATGATAATAATTAATTTTCGATGATCCGTATTGCAAATTGAAGGAACAGCAAATTAGATGATTACTCGTATATCATATAAGGTGTCATCTAATATGAGATACTTTTGATAATAGAATGTTTGAGTATATGCTTATATCTAGAATATGTTGTCTATCCTAATCGATACGCATATAATCTATAATTTACTGGATTTCCTGACTGACTGATCTGCAATGAACACTCAGCCTGCCGTAAAAGTTAAGAAGCTAAAGACTAAGCACGTGTTTTCCGTCATGCCATTAATTAACATTAGGAATCGGAATTAGGAAAAACTCTACCTTCAAGAGAATTACTATAGGTTTGTAAGTGAAAATTGTAGATTTCGTTCGATCAGCGTTTAACTTAGTTTCTGCACTTAAGAGAGAAATCTTAAAATGCATTGCAGTTTGAACATTCACCGATTTCTAAAACCTATACTTGTATATAAATATGCATTCAAAGACAAAACCGACTCCAGACGACAGACACAAACAAAAGAGCAGTTGATGGCAGTTTGGCGGTTCGGGAGCTCTCTATAATGTTAGCACGAATCATGATAAGGACATGATGTGTTCATAAATTTGGCCAAAAAGCTATTTACTTTACATTGAACTACATTTCGCAGACTCCGTGGCCCAATGGGGCGTCTAGAGCGTCTATTTTTGTTAGCGTGCTTTTAAAGGCAATTAAGTGCGTGTTTTCCCAGCGATCCAGAACCAAACGATAGCTATCAATGGCTGTGCCCAGCTGCCACTTATTTATGCTCCCGAAGTTGGGCAAAGCTTTTAACACCACGAGCTGCAGCGGGAAAATTATTGCTATGTGTGAACAATTTCTAGTGCCTGGCCTCGCTGGGTCGTCGTCTGCCGACTGGTTGGCCATATTTAGACATTTGACTGCATTTAATCTAGAGTTCAGCGCGTGTCCTCAAGAGCTGCCCGGCGCTTCAACTAAATCACGGCCAAGCTGAACAAACAACCAATATACTTGTACATACAAGTATATACATACATATGTGTACATAGCAGGGTGTGAGAATTTATGACCTAAACTGCTGGTAGTCGGGCCCACCAGCTCTGGCAGCTGTCGCCGCCTTGAGTGACTCCTCCGACTCGTCCGATTCGTGTCTCTGTCCCAACGACATCGTCATCGTCATCGTCATCGCCATCGTCATCGTCACCGTCGTCGTCGTCGTCACCCACCAACTAATTTTCGTTGCTTTTGGTTAACGAACGCGGGAAAATTTGAACAAATTGACAAGAGACACAATTTGATTGGCAATGTTTTTGTTGTCGCCTAAGACCGGCTGTTGCTATTTCTGTTGCTGTTTTTATTTGTGTTCTGTTCTGTTTATGCTTTTGTTTTTGTTGATTCAGCCGCGGCATCGGACGTTGTTCATTAGCCGTGACGTTGAAGTTGCGTGGGCGCCACACATGAGACCTTCATGGTCCCGTATTCGGACGGGCCAGCACTCGCATGGCCTCCATTGGGAGCCTCTCTGCGCCATCGTCTCAAATGCCTTGCCGTGCCTTGCCTTGCCGGAGATTTAAGCCAGCCGCCATCGATGTGCGATAGCCAAATAATATATAGTATACCTTGTAAGTCGGCCGGTCTACTTACCACGTCGCGCAAGCGCATGTGCAGGCATTATCTGCATCTGTGTATAGCCCCGTCCTGTGCTCGTATCCAATATGGTCATTACCTCGTCCGGGCTGTAGGTCGTGTGCTCGATCATCGTGTCATCGATGGAGAGCACTTGATCCCCAACTGATAAGGCGCCGCAACTGTGGGAATTATAAGCAGAGTGGAGAGCGAGGGAACCAAGTTAGTGAGAACGGCTTTGAGCCAAATATGGCTATTGGCCACAAATGGATAAAACTCTTATTGTCGTGTTAGCCGCAACTTCTTAATTAACAAAATGAAGAAGTAACGACCGAACTTAAGCAATCGAATGATAATGCTTAATGAATCACTACGATGTTGCAGGAACTTCTTTATATCAATGCAACTGAGTGCGATTGTCTATTGATGACCCTTTCCTCAAATACTTCAATATACGAGAATGCACAGCAGAAAATTATAAATTCTGTTGACTTTCAAAATATTTTCGACGCCTCTCTGAAAGCTCAAAGAATGTGCAAATGTGATCATAAATCACGTATTTATTTATTTGATTAATACATTGAAAAGACTGAAAAGGTTGCACTCTCTGGGCTATATAGTACTTCCGACTACACTGAGCTGCTATGATCGTTCAGTTGTTTGCATTGGTTAAGATAGCAAAATTATTTAAATTAAATTTAAAATTAATGATTGTCGAAAAAAGAACAGATTACATGTTTGTAGAGGAACTTGCTATCACAACACTTCTGAAAAGACGGCGTAAGTAGACTGCCATTTTTCTAACCACAATATTGCCACACTCGGACTCATTCATAGATCACTTTTTATTTGGGTGTATAACCCATGTTTCTAGTTAACTAAATAGTTTCCCACTGGGAGCAAAAGGTGTGGAAAACCACATGCTATATAGTACATGCCTATCTAATCAGCATGCTTGTCCGTCATTCAAAATTACGACAACAAAAACACCTTTTGACGAGGTAAGAAACCTAGTGACGAAATTGAAAGAACTAAGTCTTCAATTGCTACAATCTATCTAGCAGTCAAATGGAAAAATATACATTTTAGAAACTTTTTTAAATATTAAAAATATTGCTCTTTTAAATAAACGAAAATAATTGCACCGGGATACAGGCTATGGATTTTGAATTTTTTTCAATTGAAAAACAAAGCAAAGAAATAATAACAAATGACTTTTTAACATCTATAACATCATTGAATAGTTTTACGATAGTTGTGGGCCCGGAAATACGGAACTATCGCGCTACGAATATATAGTATACAAGTAAATTGACTAAATCGATATTTCGGCTATTTGGTTACAAGGCTTAAATGATCATACAGGCAGACCATTTGGGTACTCTTCTTACCGATCTGCGATGCTTGCGGGCAGTATGCTCGCTATATAAACGCCCGCTGGCATCACCTCGTCCGCCTTGTCCGTCAGAGAGGTGGAAACGTTGGCCACACTGACATTCGTATAATTGCACAAGACCAGACCCAATTTATCGTTCATCGGCCGCTCGATTTCAATGAGCAGGGGCCCCATCGAGAACTCGACACTCTGCACCACAGAGACATCGTACTCGATGGTAAGATTCGTATAGCCCGAGACATGGCCACCGCATTTGATGATCTGCTGCGCCTCTGCCAGCGTCTTACCAATGAGTGAGACCTGAAATACCAAAAAAACACATACACCATTATATTTGTTTTTGATTTTTGAAATGTGTGTCGGAAATGGCACGGAACAGCAGGCAGCGGAAGTGTTTTGTGCAGCAGGTGCCATTCATCAAAATAAAAAAAAGAAGAAGCTACACTGCCCTTCGCAGCCGCCCCACGAGGTGGTGCACATTTAACCACAACTATAGCCACAGTCGCTGACACTTACATTATCGACTCGCAGCAATCGATCACCGGGCTTTATGCGTCCCGTTTTGTAGACGGGACCGTGCGGACGCACGTGTGTTACAATCAGGGGATAGTCTGCGCCCCCGCGCAACGTCAGACCCAGACAGCCGCTCTCCCGCTCCACTGTGATTTGCGCCAGTTTCGAGGTAACATAGAGACTATTTTGGGAAACTGCTGTAACGAGAAATGGGCGCCACTGTGTTAGTATCTTCCGGGCCGGACTGAAGCTAGCTGGAGTTCCAGATGGGGGAGATGTGGGAGATGGGGGAGGGAGGGTGCGGGCAACTTACTGTACTCGGGCAGCGAGTATTCGATCTCCACAATAGCGGGGCCGACATCGGCCCCATTTGCGCACAGCAGGCTCATAATCTTTTGATTGCTCAGGCCAATCGTTGAAATGCCATCGATCTGATGTAGACGATCGCCTGGCGCCAAGAAATCGGCAGCGTGACCCACTGGGTTGAGAGCGCCAATAACAGGTGGATATGATAGATCATTGCGTTCTGGTTGCATGTGTGTGAGAGAAACAAATAAGAATAAATTGAAATTAGGACATTTGACCGATATTTGAAAAACGTTTACTTATAAACTGAAAGCAACAGGCTGAACAGGCTGTTCTTCATTCATTTTTAAAGTTGAAGACATGTGTAGGCTTATAGTCACTCTATTTATTAACAAATTTATTATTTATCTCATAAAAAATAAGAATAAGATCGGAATTTCCAATTGTAGAGCCACATTTGATGGCCTTACAAATTCGAGTGGTAAGCTCTTAAAGCATTAAATCGGTTAAAAGGTTATGCAAAATAACCAACTTTGGAAAAAATGGTGTGGTCGTATTTTGTTTAATTAGTGTTTCCAGCTACTCCCACTTCAAAAAAGGAGGATGTAAATCAGCTTGTCTGTATTTTTTTTATGCTTGTTTCCTCAGCACATTCGACTGGGTGAACCGATTTTGATGATTGTTTTCCATTTGAAAGCTGGTGATTTCCGAATGCTCCCATTTTAATTTGGTCCGGTTCGATGAGAAAACTACCTCAAACATACTAAATGAGGTATGTTAAATAGCTGATAATTATTAAGTTACTTTAAATGACAAAAACACTCCTACACTCCTATTAGTAATCCGAATTGTGGTATGTAGGTGAAGAAAAGACTAAGCATCTACTTGCCTTTTCACTTGGCAATTTGAATTTATTGTTTAATTTGTTTTTTGTAAACAGTAAACCGGATTAACATTATTTTCCTCAGCAGTCGACAAATTAGCTTAACTGTGTATGCCTTAAAATTTAAGTGTACATCTCTTTGTACGAAATTTGTTTCCATTTGTTGTTTTCTTTAATTTGATAAAACTCTATGGGAAAACCACGCATTACATTCAGAAGGTACCTCTGCTACTACAAGTATAAATGACGATATCCCCGATCGTTCTTATGGCCGCTAACGAATTCTAATTAAGCTTCAGCGACATTATGAAAAACTTTTAAATTCCTGCAAATGTGCCAGCTTCTCGTTTTGTTGTTTCCTACATACCCGTACAAACATCATGCTTGTAAAGCTCATGATTGGTTCAATCTCCTTAGAGTGTTGACAATATAATAAAATAAGTTGTTTATGTAATAAAAATCCTTATTAATAGACAACATGATCCCATGTTGTACAACACTCGGCCATTCATTCAACGCATTTATTTAACGACTGCCAATCTCAGCTGCCACATGGTCATCAACGATAGTCCAAATACTCGTACATACATACATACATACATACACACATATATACATCCGTAGACGTATGTATATTTGTATGTGGTATGTGAAGAGTCAGAAGAGAGCGACATATTGGTTCCTATTAGGCATCTGTGGCTATGACGCCAGGCAAACACTTGTGAGTCTGTAATCTTAGCATGATCTATATATGTTTGTATGTATATATATATATGTTCGTAGTACCCGTATTTCCGCCTTCGACTCCTTGTATAGCACGCATCTCTTCTGTCAACGACTCGTCATGCGACACAAGCGCAGCCGTTCCGTGCGTATTCGCCAAAAAATTAAAATAAAAAAAAGCAAACTAAATAAATAACTGCTTGAATAGACGAGGAAAGCATAAAACAAAATAAAATGCGAGAAAAAGAAAACGGACGACTTCTTGCTATGACAAGCTACGGGGGAGCAGCAACAACAACATACTGTAACAACAGAGCGTACGGATGGCAAGTTGCCAGCCAAATGGCATGGCGTGGCGTTATTAGAAAGAAGGCGGCTTGCATGGCCTCAGCGTTGGCGTTGGCGTCTGATTCGGATTCGGAATTGGAATTGGAATTGGATTTGGAATCGGCACGACGCCTTATGACGCGACAAGAGTCGCTTACGTCAGCAAATCAAGCAAACACTGCTCTGGTGACTCCATTCTCGCTGACCAAGGCCTGGCTGCAACCTAATGCCCGGGCAAGAGATTCGAGCTACATACATACATAAGCCAACAACCCCTAGCGCGTAAGAGAAATCGCAAAATATGCATAAAAGTAGTATTATACGATGTATGAGCATACAACACAACTGATTTGATATATGTACACATAGTATACTGTTGAGGCAATCATACATGCCCAGACGAATTATATATTATTATTATGTCTGGTCGACGACTGACTCTCGCCTCTTGGCCGCCTTGCCCCGCTTGGGGGTGGGAGGTCTCAACGATGATTTATTTTCTTTTTTTTGGTAGTCATCGGCGCCGCAGCCGGTCTGGCCTCTCTTATCGACGCGTTCCGCATTCAAATTTCTCGGTCTACTTCGGCCGTCGTTCGAAACCAGACAGAACTGTGAAGCAAATGGGGAGGCATGATCGTGTCGTGCCATAATCATAAAGCCGCCATAGACAATATGTGCGGACACAAATGACAAATCATAGGGTAAACGAAGCTATAGTAAAGGTCAAGATGAATAACAAGTCAAATGACACTCTATTAGACACACAGGTACTACTTATCCACAAACGACTTGGCAGCAATACTCCTTACTCCTTAAGAAGAAGGAGAAGAAGCCGCACAATCTGAGCTAGATAATTAGTATTGGAATGCTACACAGCTAAGACTCCATTATCCACATACTTGTGTGCTAATAGAACGTCTGTGGGTTTGCTGAAGAAATAAACCCAACAAAGTCTCTTAACAATAAGAACAGCGTCCTCCCCTAAGCGGCTGAGGTGATTATTAGTTCTAAGAAGTTATCTTTGTAGAAGAGAAGGCTGCGAAAAGGGGTAATAAAAAGTCATTTGTTCATATATTTCCTTAACGAACAACCCATCCTTATCTTTAATTATTCATTATTAATTTATTATTTCCTTTATATTTATTAGAGTACCCGGTTTTCGTTGCAATGCCACTAAAAATGTTCAATTTTCATTCATTATTTTAGCTTCAGAGCGCTGCTTGTTCCTCAACCCATCTTGAGTTTATCTGTTTTGCATTTATAAATATATTTATTACTTGTTTTTACTCAATATATGCTCTTGCTAGTCTTTTGTCTGCAGTAAACTCTTGTTCAGCTTCATTCACACTATTCCCACCACTCCATGTTGGCAACAATAAGGCAGAGAACACAACTTATTGTAAAGTTTCTAAGCTTTCGATAAGAAATACATAAATCATAATCTCTATCAAGACGAGTAATGATTTATGATCCGATCGGATAGACGATGTTGCTTTCCTGCCGTGGTAGCGAGTTCTATAATATGCTCAAAATTTAGATCAACCGGGCCAGAACTTTTTCAGCCTCTACATGTCGGATGTACAAGTATATAGAAGATTAATTAATTAGTTTTCTTCTTACTTATTTATTTTTTTAATACATTTTCATTAATCCTTAGTCCATCGAAAAACTACCGCCGAATATTAGCCATTAAGCATTTAAAAAAACATAAAATCTAAAGATAACATTTAATTGTATTTTATTTCATGTTGGTAGGCATTGTAGTAGGAAAAGCTTAATATTTAGTCACTATTTTAGTTTTAAATTAAAAAAAATATGTATATATTCATTTACTTATTTTATTTGTGAGTGGTTTTTAGTATCGGGTCCACACGACGCTGGCATTTCATGTCTGTCTTTTGTCTTTAATGTATTTTGTTGTTGCTATATTTATTTTATTTTTTTTTATTTTTTATTTTATTTATTTTTTCATCGACAAACAATGCAGTCGATGTACATAAAAAAATCAATACAATAGAGAACTTAAACTAAGTAAAACTAAAGAAATAAAAAAGCCTATAAAAATGACAAAAATATCTAATAACGAACCCGACAGTAAAAGTATAGCTTCTATTTAAAGTATAGAAATCAATAAGCAGGAATATAATTTCTTTAATCTCTTGCAAAACCCAGGGGTTCCGAAACTCCGAGCTAACGACAATTGATAATAAATAATCGTGTAAGCATGCGTTGTAAATTAAAAGACGCATTCATATTTTAATATCTTCCGTTAATTGGCAACTCCAAATATTTAGGAAGCACTTTTTAGAATGCAACGTGAATTTATTAAATCAAATATGGGAAAGCAACCGGTTATTTATAATATTTTTATGGTGTTAATTAACAATAGTTATTGGGCCAAACTTCATTAAATCATCCAACAAGCTTTGAGTTTTTGAAAAGCACTGAGGTCCAGCGAAAAGTAATTTTTACAACACATACGCATTGTATATATAGTACTCGTATATGCGCTTCAATTTGGTTTGAAACGAAATGAGGACACGTCTGTAGAATGACTGCATTATGGCATTTATTATGCAGAATGTCTTCCTTGTTGCTTCGATAAATAAATTGTTTATCTTGCACATAAACAAGGAAGAGAATATTGTTAAAATGATATGAAAAGCAGCTGTCCCGTAACACAAACATATTTTCAGAAAACAAATGCAACTCCCTCGTACAGTAATTCGCATCCTTTAATTACCAATTAATACACGAGGTCTTTCAAGTTTAAACAGACAGACTGTGCAACAATCAGATGCCTTGGTAGGCTTCCCCTCTTGGGATGCAGTTCTTCTGCTGTTTACCACTAACCATTACTTATCGTCTCTACAAGTTAATCAGCAGCCTCCAATTAGAGGGGTTGAGCAGCAATCAACGAGCTGACACTTTTCATTAACAATTGACTACAATTTGCCATTGAAAGCCACAGGCACCTTCAAATTACACATCCGTAATTACGAAGCCCACATGAGAATAACCGCCCCTGAAACGGGTTACAAATTTACTTTATAATGCATAATTATAACCTAGGCATGAACGTAAGGGCCCAACACCCCGGCGAAACACCCATCAATGTTAATGCCATATGACAGCTGTCAAAAATCAAAGATGAACACAAACTCTATTCAAAAAAGTTGTACTATACACAGAGATGGTGCGGGTAGGTTGCCGGCAGACAACCCTAAAACTCGACAACGCCTCATCAAAACGTCAATTTCGGATCATTGCCGCTCGCTTTTCCAGCAGCAATATTGCTGTGCCTTCATGTCGATATAGGTTTTCACATCCGAGAGCTAGTATTGCTGGCAATCAGGCATGTCCAGATTTGGCGGAGCTAAAGCAGCAGCAGTCAAATGCATTGACTAACAAGAATAATTGAGCAACAAGCTTCTAGAGTGCTAGCATAGCTAATGGCAGGCTACACTCAAAAAAATAAACTCCCAAGAGCAAGAAAGTGTTAATAAGATCGAGGCTGATTAATTGGAAGGCAGTGTTAGGGTTATTTGCGCAAGCAAGCGATTCGAAAATAATTCTTTACACCTAATTCTGTTTTTACACGGCAGATTGATTCCTAAAAAAGTCGTGTAAAAAAGACATTGATCATATGCAAAATGGATCGTTCTAAATGGAATAAAGTCGTGTAGCCATATATAAAATTTTTTATTTTTGAACCGTCTTAAATCATAACCGTGTAAAACCAGAATGAGGTGTATTATGAAAGAACTTATTTACTTATACTGGATACTAAAACTTAAGAAATGTTAGAAGAAAATTAAAGCTAGTACACTATTTACATACAAAGTGACTGAAATATAAAGTTTTCTGAAAACTGAACATTGAAGCAATTACAATTAAACGATTGGAGTATTGCATTATATTAAGATTCGTTCTTTTTTTTTTTTTAGTTGAGAATTAAGTTTTGCACTTTTGAAATATTAGAGAAGTAGTTTTTAAAAAATGTTGCTTCAAGATTAAGAACAAGGTCAAAATTTGCAAGAAAACTTTAATGTCGGTTTTGCCTTCGACCGCGCTCTGGTGCTTTCTTTCACAGATGTCTATATTATATTAGATGAATACCAAGCTGATTAGGACTTTCTGCAAATGGCTCCACATATTGATGAAAACATTAACTTTAAACATACAAGCTACGTTTAAGTTTTTTATAAAACTTTTAATTGACCAAACAAGTAATCGTTTATATCACGGCAGAAGAAAGCCGGCCAAATCCTTTCATGAAATGAATGTTATTGGAATGGAATATATCTAAATAAACGAACCATTGTACTTTAACTCAAAGGTGTGTTCTTGCTTTGTTCCACAGGTAGATGAGATTTTTTTAAAAAACTAAATTTTAGCTTAATTGTCTCCGGCAAAAGGCTTTTACCAACATTATAAAGGAGATGCCGCTGATCGTCCAAAAGGTTGTTTATATCAATTCTGTTTTCTTATTTCTAAAACGTCCCATTTACTTTGGGACGCACCTTGTATGTATAATGTATAATGTATAAAAAATGCAAAATTCAGAGGGGCGCTTTAAAATATAGAACGAATTTCTTATTTCTCAGTGCTGGCAGAAATTATATAATGATACTAGAGGCTTTTGTGCAGCTTATATAGATAGCTTCGGTGAAAGAAACAGACTCGTCCTACCCATCCCAGACATCATAGACAATCAATAAGTTTTTGTTGATCAACAATCACTTTCGTTTCTTTCTGTGTAGTCTTGGAGCTGGGAGGGGCTGTGATGGCGTTAGAGTGAGTGGAAAACGCACTTGAAACGCATTAACGCGTGCATTTGTCAGTTGGACGCAATAGTTTGGTGAGTGTTTTTTGAGTGTATGCGTATATGTAAGTATGTATGTATTTATGAATGTTTAAATGAATGTGCATATGTATGTGCTTACCTGCAAATGTGATAGCCAAGTTGAGGGCATTGCGTGGCAGTGTAATTGTTGCATAGGTCGTGCCACGTTCCGGTGCCAGTCCAGAGTCTTCGGACTGTGCGGGACTCATGGCGCGGTCAACTGCAAATGGCAAAGAAAATAAAATGGCAAATGAGCAAGGCGTGAAATTGACATCAAAGGTGCAGACAAAGACTCCGGCAACGGTACTGCTGCTACTGTCGGCGGCGATGGCGTTCAATGACCGCATCATACGTCATCATTTCATTTTCACAGATGGAGAGACTGTGCAAGCACCGGCATTGCTTAATTAATTCATCAACACCGAAACCAAAATACTATATAAAAAAACATAAGCCGAAAAGCACTGCAAAAAGCCTTCGAAAGATCAAAGGCACCAGCTATAATGTGCAAAGGAATTGCGCCTTTGAGAGCAAGAAGCGTCGGAGTTGGCAGATTCGCGTGTCCGGTTGATGAACTCAAGCGCCCGCGCACCAAAGGTCCTCAAAGATCTGGAGCACAACCGTAACATATTCAATAATTTTTTTCATTTTGTACAAACTACTTGTACATTCAATATTTTTCGTCGAGTTTTAGAACTTTTTAATAAATATTATTTGAATATGTTGTGGCTACATGGTCCTAACTACATATTCAAAATTTAATAATATAAAATTTAATAAATAAAATTGTAGGTTTTATTTTGAATTCAAGTTATGTATTACATATATTTCTTTTTGCTAGAAGTTACTTTAAAAAAGGAAAGTTATAAGTAAGTATAGTTTGAATACTATTTTAATGATTTCTTTTGTTGCTCTTTTTTAGATTTATTTTTGGCTTTTCTTTATTTAGTTAGAGCTTCTCTGTAAACGATATATGGTTTTATTTTATGGCAGCAAAATAAATTGATTTTCAGGAGCTCCGACCCGCGACAGTCCAACATTTAGTTGGCCATGAGTAAAACATTCCTTGGGCTACAGTTTTGGCGTTTTAAAAAGGAACCCTATCTTTTTTGCAAATATTATATAGCCTATGTTAACCAATAGCGAAAAAATCCTTTACTTCCTTTATTTAATCCAAATAAACAAACAAGCAATCAAATCTTTCCTCTTTATAGTATTAGCATACTTGTAGATTATTTTGTGGGGCATAGCTGCAAAATATATTGAAAAATTGATTCGATATTTAATGTATGTGTGGGCTAGATAGCACCAGCTCTCAAAGCCGACCAATATACATAGAAACAAAAACAAGTCCCACTTCATGCTGCTTTTCGCCTGCAGTTACTTAAAAGAAATTTAAATCTTCTTATTTGAAAAACTCAAACTATGTATTTCTTGCAAAGCATAATCCACGAAAAGAAACACAACTGACAAAATTCGAACTGGTTAATGAAAGTAAAGAGTATTCCCCCCTTTGTTCAACCGGTCGAAATCGAATTAACATTTATGAGAGTGAACACTGTAGTACCCGAGGCACAACAACTTGCTAACACGCCCTCAAAATAACGCAACGTGGCCCTCATGTACATACTATATATACGTACGGGTAGGTGCCAGTGAGTCAAACATTTTTAAGGCGAAATTTGTTGAATTCGATTCGATTTGCGACCTTCAATGCCGCTAATAAAGTCGCCAAGCATTTCAATTAAAATTCCAATGCGAATCTCTTGTACAATTAAGAAATAAGCCAATTAATCTTTATAATTTTTCAACTGCCAAGCTAAAACATACACACACACACACACACACACACACTCGTACACCCATAAAATCTGCGCTGAAGCATATGGCACTCTAGTGAGGCGGCTTTTGGGAAATTAAGAAATCAAATCACTCGAAACATTTGAAACAAGCCAGAGAGCTTTGCAGCATTCTCTTTAAAATGTGGATCAACCGATGTTGTTTCCAAATTTTGCAAACAACTGGTGCGCCCGGGAGTCTTTAATAGTGCTGGAGCTGGAAATGTTTACGTTGTACAAATCTGTAAATACTCGCATATGTGTACAAGTATGTACATAGAGGCGAGTAAATAAAGCCGCAGGTATCATATAAATTATATACAGAAGAAACAGAGATAGCCTAAATACAATGGCAATAGAAATAAATCGCTGAAATCAATGAGAAAAGAATTCGTGTGCGTACACGTACGCTGAAAATGTTGCAAGGAACACACTATTAGAGTAAATAATAAATATAAATAGTACATAAGTATGTTGTAATGTTTGAAGTGGACAGAACAGGATTATTACGAATATTACAGCTGTCTTGTTTAAACATAAACATATTACCCAATTAGGCACATTACATTTACTTAGCTTGTATAATTTATGTTATTGTGAAATTCGTATTTCTTTTTGTTTTTGATGCGTCCACTATTTTCAACAACAAATTAAGTTCGCTCGCCTTAGTTCTTTTTCAAGTACAATACATATTGCTACATTAGAGCAGATTACATGAGAGGCGCAACACAAGTAACAACAACAACCACAGCAATATGTGTGGCAAGCAGACACAACAAAAATTAAAGGCGAGCAGGAAAGTTGGCAAATATACATACATACATACATGAATACATATTCATAAATACATTGTATCTTCAAAATGTAATCGCCGAGCCACTTGTTTTGCATGTTTGCTTTTTGTTTTGTTGCTCTGCTTCCTTTATGCTCATTTACGAGTGCACAGTACATATACAAGTAGATGTTTTCTGTTTTTGGGCGTGGAAAATGGGGGTTTGCCGCTGATGTGGCAACACTTTTCAGCGGCCAGAACACGCGGCGTATACGCGATATGCAACAATTGCCACGTTGCCCAATGTATAAGGCCGACAAGATACATTAGAGGAGCAACAAATACACACACATACACACACACACACAGAAGTGCAAATACACACACACACACACAGAACACACGGTATTGTCGTCGTCGCCGCAACTTTTATTTTCAAACGCTTCAATGGCGCATAAAGTTTTTCTTAATGCCTGTATGAAGAACAAAAACAAAAACAATAATTAGGCAAAAGAAAAACTACAAGCGCGACCGCCACAACAACAACAACAACAACAGCAACAAGGGCAGCTATCTTAAAAAACGTAACGAAAATTTTTACGTTTCGCTTCATTTGCGTAGCATAAACATCTTGCAGATACATTTGATATACACGATGGTGTTTTTCTTGCGTTCGGCGTTTGACGTTTGCGCTACATTTGCGGCCGTTGTCGTTGCAGACCAGACGCCCCTTACCCCCACCATGCCTCACACTCCCCTCCCTCTCATCCACCCCCCTGCCAACGCTCTCTGCTGCTCTATAATTTATTTATATTTAATTTGTTTTCGTTTTTCGTTAGTTTCTATGCATCCCACAGTGGTCTAGATTTTGAAGCCACGAATCCGCCACTTTTCATCTTTTCTTTCAGATTAAAATTATTAAATAGCCAAGATGACTAAAATTAAAACTCCAAAAAAAGCTTAGAATTGCTTATTGTTAGTCATAACTTGATTTTTTATGATAAGATTTTGCTGGTTTTATGATTTAAAAAAGGTTATAGCCTAAAAGAACCAAATATTTACTACAAGTAATATTTTCTATATATATATTTTTTAATGATTAAAACCCTTTTAAACACCTTGATTGATGAGACAGAAAAGCTCAAAATAAAGATGATTGGATGTGCACGAAGATGATGCACCAAGGTCTTATTGGAAATTACAGATCAATGTTGGAACAACAAATTTTTGTATATGCTCCTACTTTTTGACTTAACATTTTTGCAATAGTTTAGACAATAAATTGACAGATGACAAAAGTCCATCATTTCCTAAATTTGAGAGAAATGTTTATTATCTTTGTACACCTCCTCTGCTTAATTTCCAGTACAAAGATGCTGCCAAAACAACAACAAAAACTCCATTTAACAAAAAACAGTATAGTTGTTGAATGAAACTTTGGGTGAGCTCTAAAATACTTGATCGGTTGTTTATTTATTTATTATTATTATTTAATAGTGCTTATAAATTAATGCACTAGTCACAAGAAACATAGAATTTTCATTAAAAAAATTGAAGACGGTTTGATTAACCTACTTAACCTATTTTATAAAATTGTGTTCGAGTCAAGCCGTAACCATCATGACAGTAGTATGATTTCAAAATGTCAAGGGTATCATAAAATTTAATAATTTTCCATCCTAGGACAGATCTTAAATAAAGATTAAAGTTTTAAAGATGTACAAGAATATTTGTAAGAAGTATTTAGTAAGTATATCAAGAAGTGATTGGCAATATGACCAATAATAATGTTGAGTTCGCCATATAAGCAATCAAAGGAATTGTCACTTTTTAAGCTCATGTCTTGGCAGCAATTTTGTTGATGTATTGTCAGTAAAAAATCTCCTTTTACGACTTTTAAAATGTTTTTTTTTATAATTTTTTCATGTTGCAATAATTTTCAAAGTATAATCAAATGTTTGGTATGTTTCGAACCACTGTGCATCGCCATCGCCATCGCCTCCGTAGTGGTTGTCGTCGGGGCTCGCTCACTCGCCAAAGGTGCGCCAATTTTTTAATGCCACTTTTGGTACATCTTTTTGGTGCACTGGCCTTCTGGCCTTACCCCTTTACATGTCTCTTCAGCTGGTTGTTGTTGGCTTTCGGTTTTTGTTTTGTGCGTCACTTTTACGCATTCGCTTTGAAGTTTTCACATTTATTTCGCTGGCTTGGCTGTGTTTGGTTGCGACTCTATTTGGTTTTTGCTATTTATTTTATTTCTTGTTTTCGCTATTTTTATAAAGTTTTTCATTTTGATTTTCACGCACGGAAAACCTTGCCGACGGCGCTACAAGTTTTTCGACATAATTCATTAGGCACGCTGCCGGACGCTGAGCGGAAATTGTATATATGTGCGTATATGTGTGTGTACGATAGTTTCATAAATAACTACAAACATACGCACAAGAAGCCGAAACATACACACTATAATGCTGTGAAGAGGGGATGCCCTTTAGAATTTGAGAATTGAAGAAACAACTCACTTGATGAGACATAATAAGAATCAAGATTTACTGAAATATTCGTACTTTACAGACAGACAAGCAGTAGTTGTTAATAACATTCCGAATT